GAGAGAGAGAGAGAGAAGGCTAGAGGGACAAAGATAAAGAGAGAGAACTAGAGCATGGAGGAGAGAGACGAGAGAAAAGGAAAGAGAGAGGGGGCTCTAGAAAAACTGATGGTGGGAATGAGGGGGGTGCTGTACTATTTATAGGCGAAGGCCTAAGGTATTTCATCTTCCATTGGGACTCAAATTTGACTATAGGACTACTAGGTAATATGTGAATTGATAAAATTGAGCCATCGTAGATCAGCCATTATGATCAAGGAGGAATCCTAGAACTATTATCCCTCAGATTCTTGACCTCAGCCATCATGATCAAGGAGGAATCCACTTCTATTCAAACCGGGATTACATCTCCCATCATCCCATAAAGTCCAAATTTTTTCTCATTGTCACATAGAAATTACTTCCAATTATTTTAGAAATCCAAAGTTAAAGGGGAAGATCTATTTCAAATTATTTTCAAAATAGAAAATATTTTCCATATCTCAACATGATGCCATATCTCCGAACAAGGAGATCATGGGGCGTCTCGCTGTGGGGTGTGTGGCCCTTTTGGGCCCATTGTCCCACCCATGTGGTCCCCTCATGTGTGAGGGCTGGGCCCGTGGCCCCCCCACATTGGTCCAACTCAATACATGCCTCTACAAAGTGCCAAAATCTTAAAACTGTCCTTTGGGGGTTTTTAATGGCTAAAACAAATTTAAAATTTTGAAAAATATTTAAAAATCGTAGGGGCATAATAAAGTTGGAAAATAATATCTTTGACATTCTGAAAATTCCAAATCATGTTTAAATCAAAACTTGAATTGAATGGGTACTGATGATTAAGAAATAAGTGATACCTCTGACATACTGTACCTATGCGAGAATCCGTATCCCACAATCATCTTCTCAATACCAACCCAACAGAACCATGTCCCATAATCAATCACAACGGTTCATGATTGGACCATCAAAGTTGGTCAATATATGGTGGAACCATGAAGATAGCGTGTCGATTATAGTTGGCCAGTAAATGGTGGAACCATGAAGCTAGCATGTCGATTGGAGGTTCGCCTCCAAGAGCAAGTCATATCTATAAATATGTACATATGTAGATATCACTATAGTGCAAAGGGGACACACTCTTATACACATGTACACCGCTATCTCTCTATAGGGCTGCTTCCCAAAATGTTATTGTGAAGTGTATATGCCGTGCAATGGTTGTTGAGGATTTGGCCTTTGCCCTCACAAGCCCTCAACTGCATGCAAGAATCCTAACGGCTTCCTATCTCTCATCATCATCCCTAGGCATCTCTCTGACCTCAACCAGGGATGACCCATTGAAACCCCCAACATTATTACCTATGCCCAAGAGTAAGGGTTTTAGACATGACCTGAACCATAGACCTCCCAACCCAAGGTTAGTTGACCAACACTATCATGGAAATGTGAATATCCAATTTATTTTTACATGCTTTCAAGGCCTTTAAAGGTAACAAACAATACATCCTGCCTTCCTTTGTAATTGATTTCAAAGATCCTCTTATATTTCTGTCTCATCATGAGAATTTTCAAAAGTTTATAAATAAACTATATGTATTATGTACAAAAGGGTATATAATTTATGTGGGCTTTCTCGTTTAAGCTTGGGAGCAATGGCATGGGGCTTCTCCGAATGCTATTGGGATGGCAGTTTAGGTGACATCGACTTCATGGTTGTGTGGCTTATTTGGATTCTACTTTAGAAAATGCCAATTTTTGTCCAACTTGGGAAACACTGCATTTGTGGGAACTCAAAATTCACATTGACCAAAGTGTATCTTGCAGCCAAACTAGGTGTTACAAACTTGCATGTGAATCTTATGCTTGTCTCGGTAATATTTAAGATTTGGAATTGCAGAAATTGTGACTTGTGATTTTTCTAATGCTGTAGTCTTGTATACTGTTCCCTGCATTGGGCATCTTGCTCTTTTTGGCTTTTCTTATTTCTGGCCAAGTCTTCAAACAAGTCTTGCCCATGTTTAATGCCTATATTGTTTAGTTTATGTTCAATATTGATTTCTTTTCATCACTAATATGCTTCATTCTTGGGGAAAATTTAGGTGGAGCACCAATAGGCAATGAGATGAAAGATAGTAGACTTAGGTGGGCTAGCCATATGTGGCACATACCCAGTACAATACCTGTTAGGATGTGCAAGTTTGTTCAAGTGGAAGCCTAAAAAACGGCAATGGGTATGCCCAAAAGGAAATGGTTGGAAGTAGCGAGAAAAGATATGGGGACTTATGACGTCATTGAGGGTATGATCCTTAATAGAATAGAATGGCGGACCAGGATTCGTGCAGCCGACCCCATTAATTGGGAAAAAGCTTTGACGACTAATATGATTCATTCTCTCCACTAGGTTAGGATTCCTTCTTCTGAACTGTTGTTACACAGTTTGGGAGTGTGACTTTTAGAATTTACAGTTTTGTCTTTTCAAAACTGCAACTTGGTCCTAGGTAAATAATGTTTCCCTGGATACAACTATGTGGTCAAGATACACGCAGATCATTGGTTCCAATTCCTCCAAAAGCCTCATTTGTTAACATGTAAACATCGTTTGCTGGAGACAGAGCCACAATCCCCATCTTCTCTTTCAAAGGATTGCTGCTGTTGCAGGGATGCCGATGCCAGTCAAGTGCCCAACAAGTTTTGCAGGTGTTTACTTGTTTGCATGAACAAATGTGACATGTCAATTCTTAAGTGCAGTAATTTCAGGCTTAAATTTTAAAGCTCAAAGAGGTAAAAACCAAGACAAGTGGGACAGTCTCCAACAGTGTCCCCAAAAACACAAGCACCAATATCAATGTTCAATTTGCATATCAACTCTTATTACATATGCTTTTTTCTGAGTCAACTTTGTGCTCATCTACCTTTCAGTATATTAAGGTAAATATAGAGGCAAGACTTTGTTCCACCAAGGTTTCTCCAGAAGTAATCATGTCATTGGCAAAAAAAGATGAGAAATCCTCTACAAACTGTCCCCAAGGGAGAAACCTTTATTCCATTCTAAAGACTCCTATCCTCAAGATAATACTGAGAGGCATTGCCATGACGGTGAAAAGGAAAGTGAAAAGTGGGTGTTATTGCTGAAGGCCCCTGGGACTTCTTAATTAGCTTCGGATTTCTGTTAATGGCAGACCTTAGTCCATTGAACCAAATCCTCTCCAAAAACTGTGCACCTGAGCAGTGCACCTGAGCATAGACCAAAGTGCCATTGCACATTGTGATACACGTTTCCTGAGTCAATGTGATAGACCGTGCTAGGATTTTTTGATTTGTTCCTGAAGTAAGTGTATAGGCAGTACCCTATGAATGATTTCTTTGCCTTTATCCACCTTGACATTGGAAGATCTTTGATGGCCTACTATCATCAATAATTTCCTTTAGCAAGAATATTAGACTACCTTCCAACTAGGACCTAAACTCCTAACATCATTGTCATATTCTTCTCTGGAATGTGGTGATGCAAGTTGTATTTGACACCAAAAATCATCCTAAACCTATTGCAAAATTCCTTAGGAACATCCATAAGTTCCATCCTAGCTTTGCCTTCTGAGAAAACTCTCTGGCCGAGTCACACTCCCCCCTAGAAATTGATATCTGGTTCATAAAGGGCAGGCCTGGCTCACAACTCAGCGACATTTAGAATCCTAAAGTACTCTAACATATCCTAGAAATTTCACGTATGCGGCTAAAGGTTCTGTTACCAATTTTGATCTCATCAAGATTATTGACTAGGAATGGAGGAATGTTTACTTCAAATACCGTTCTCCAAGTTAGAGAGTAGAAATCCTTGCCTGCAAAGATGTTGTTGCCTAACCAGCCCTTGAATGTCAACTCTCAACGAAAAGCTTTCTTCAGACCGAACCGCCCCCCAACCCCACCAAATAAATAAAAAAATTAAAAATAAAAATAAACCTCACCGGCCCCTTAGTCTTTCTTATATTTATTGGATATTTTTGGCCTACCTTTGAACATTTTTGAGATTGTAGGAATCTAAAGATGCCCCCCCCGATTACCAGAATCGACCAACCTATATGTCGGCCCCACTCCTTGATCTTATTCCAATGCTCCAAGATAGGGATCCCTAGCGGATCACGATTTTTAAATTTTCAGATCTCGATTCCCAACTTATAGGATCGGTTCTATCTGCTCAAATGGGAAATAAGCAGCCAAGAAGATGATTCGTTTGGATCTCAATTGCGATCAATGAACAAAAAGTCGGCTGCCTGGCTGAGTAGGCGGAATTTTTGGAAAAATGCCTAGGAGTGGTCTAGGCAGACACTATTAGGCAGAATAAGCTAGACGCCCAAGGTGCCTGCCTAAGCGGATGCCTAGGCGCTGCCTCGACCTTGTAATTTTACCCCTTTAAATTCGGGAGAGGGAAAAAAAAGGTAATTAAAAGGGGGGATAAGGGTTTGGGGGGCCATTCTTGCCTCAAAAAACAATTTTAGTGAACTTTAGAGTGAGAAACAGCTTGAAAAAAAACTAGATTTGAAGAATTTTTGAGAGATCAAATTTTTTTCAAAATCCTCGAATGTTTACGATAATGAAGGATATTCATCCCCAATCTTTTTGAGGCTTATAAGGGGTGTAAAAGAGGAGATTTGGGATCCCAAATATTTCGGTTTGACCCGAAATCGAGTGCACTTCAAGAAGGTTGGTATATTTCAATAGTTTTCATTTAGGTTTTGTATATTTGTCCCCATAATGTCTAATGATGTTATTATTTGCTATTTGCCCTTTTTTTTTATACTTTGTGATATATATTTGATATGTTATTATGTATTTTGATTATTATTTTCCCATTTGGATATGTAGTTTAGGTCTTTGGGAAAGCAATTTAATAAAAATGTCCATTGCCCCCTAATCGAATGAATATTGTTTTTTACTTCTCTTTTTTTAGTTCTACATGAATTTACTTGTATGATTCGTAAACCATTTTTTTTATATTAGTTAGTTCAATAATTGCTTAATGGCTTCTGGCATCTTAACAATATGTTTTATATAAAACTAACTTCATCGTCATCATCATCATCATTTTAGCCTTTTTCCAATTAATTGGGGTCGGCTACATGAATCTTGGTTCTCCATTCTGCTCTATTAAATGCAATATCCTTAGTGAGGCCATAAGTCCCTATATCTTTTCGGACTACTTCCAATCGCGTCCTTTTGGGCCTACCCCATTTCCTTTTCGGTCATACCACTTGAACTAATTCGCACATCCTAACAGGTGCTGCACTTAGTCGGCACCACACATGGCCAGCCCACCTAAGTCTACTCTCTTATTAAATAAAAAACTATATACAACAAAACTAACTTATTAAATTAAAAAGCATACAATTCTATACACAATAAAATGTGTGGAGCTATGGAGGATTCAACATTTTTTTTAAAGCTAAAAAAATAAAAAAAATAAATAAAAAAAATCCAAATTGCATCATCCTCCTAAGTTTCGGATAAGCTCAACCTTGAGTTTGAAGATTCGAACTCAAATCAAAGACTATCACCATCTAGTTGTATTTCTGGGTGTTGATCTTCATATTGAATTTCGTCTACTTCTTTAGCCAAGCATACCTCCATCCTCCTTTTTGGGCACTCATATGCACGGTGGCCTATTTCATTACTTGGAGGAATCCTTCTTTTCTTCATGAAGTTTTGGATGGTACGAAACCTCCTTTTGGATGAAAAGGTGCTCATTAGTGCTCCATTGGAATTTGGTCTCCACGTGTATAGCAATTTTGAAAAGCTTTGCTTAAGGTCCATGGCCTATGTAGAAAGGCCACATTTCTAATGGTTGGTTGGAGCCTATTAACATAATGATCAATCTTTTGTCCTTTACTCTCTTAGAGGTTATTTTGAGCCACAAGTCTATAAAATTCATGTGTATAATCCTCTACTTCCTTTTCATTCTGTCAAAGATTCGGAAGTCTTCAAAGAGAATTTGCTTATGATCCATAGGAAAGAATTTCCTTTCAATTTCTTTTCATCTTCTATCAGTTAGAAATTCTTTCCTTTCCACTATGAAGTCGGGATTCTTAAACTTGCTCCCTCCAAGCTGCAACATATCCGTGGAGCTTGACTGCAACAAGTTTAACTTTACTTTCTTCTAACAGTTCACTCCATTCAAAATAAATTTTAGCTGCACTCGACTAGTCAATAAAACCCTCTATGTGGAGTTTACTATGAAACTCAGGGAGGTCGACTTTAATACCGAGATCTCGTGGACTCTCTACAGGATGTGGGTCTTAACTTCAAATTTGTTCTTTATGTTCGAGATCGGCACCCCACGTTTGTCGTGGGACTCGATCCCTCTATACCTCGAAATTTGGCATCGGTTCCTCATGGAGCTCCCTCTTCTCGAAGTATGGTATCTTCCAACCATTGCAACCATTGATTCATTACTCCGATCTCTACTCTGATACCCTCCATGGCTTTGTTTATACATTTTGTAATTTGTGGCATTAGGTCATCGATCGCAAGAGCACGTTTCGATGGCATTATGATGATTGGATCTTATTTCGCTTCGATACCACTTGATGCAAGGAAGATGGAAAAGAAATAAATCAAATAAATATAGCAATGAAGGGATAAGGGAATATACCATCTTTCACGATTTACAATGGCACCCCAAAGATCTATTCACAAGATCCAAAAACAATTTCTTTCTTGTCTAAAATAACTAGTTGTCAAAAAGGGACCTCCTTCCCTTCAAATACAAACTAAAAGAAAAAAATAAAAATAAAATAAAAAACCCACATGTCATCTCCTTCTCTCTACCTCTCTCTCTCTGAATCACATTAATATCTCTCTCTCTCTCTCTTTTCATTCATGTGAAGCCCATGATTCTTGGAGGCTTCCCTTGTCTTCACATTAAAACCTCTATCTTTTCATTCATGTGAAGCTTCCCATGATTCTTGGAGGCTTCCCTTATCTTCACATTAAAACGAAGTCTACTCATCCTAACCAACCCAAACACTCTAAACCTATCCATATAGCTAAAGCCGAAAAGTAAATAAATAAATAAAATAAAAAATGAAATCCAAATTGCATAAAAAACCCAATCAAGGATTACCTTTAGGACTCCAAACTTTGAGGATGTAACCTATTCAACCCTAGTGACTAACCTTTGAAGGTATTTTTTTCAAACTGCAATCTGTATGTTCCTAAAAGAAAAAAGCCCAAGATTGAACAAAGACAGTCCAATTTTTGGGCGGTGAGATTATAGTGGATCTCCTAATCTAGGTGGTGATCCTGCTCCAAGATATCGCTCCAACGCTTCTGGATGTGATCTCCATTGGCTCCTTGCAACTCAAAGTGGCAACAGGAGGCCAAGAAGATGATTTATTTGGATCGCAATCATATTCTCTCTCTAATGCTTTTGGATGTTGTGAAGTATGACATTGCAAATAAAGCTACTTGGTATGCTTTGGAATGTGGTAAATGCGAAAATGCAGATGTACATTTTTATCGCTAAAAAGTTAACTCTCGTGAATTGTTATTGGTTATCCGATGCACCTCGTCATAATATATTCTTTATTGTATTTTGTGGGATTATTATTACATGAACTACACCTCAAAGGAATAAAAAAAATTATAGTCCATTTTCTTGTGTGCCATTTTTTATTGTATTATGTAGAATTACTAGATGTTTTGATCTCCTGAATTTTTTTTGAATTTTTTTTCAAAATTTTTTATTATTAATTTAAAAATTGTATGGAATGCGCTCCCTACCTAGGGAGCTTCCTGCATGTGTCGATCTGTCACTCCCTCTCCTGCCCCATTGTCCACTCTTGCTACACAAGCAACTATGAATGACATAAGTTTTGAAGAACTCAAAATCCAAGTATAATTTTATTTATAATCATTGGTAACTCCTAGGTGGAGTAAGTATTTATAGTATTGCTCCAACAGGCGCATAGTATATGCGCTCTTGTAAAATTGTAATCAAAGGAGTTTGATGTGCTTTTGGAGTTTGTAATGTGTGAAATCGTAAACAAAGCAGATTTTATCAATGAAAAATAAGTGCCCTTGTGTTTTCATCAATTATTCCTAGGTGTCTCATCATAGTATTTTTATTGTATTTGTGATACTATTGTTCCATAAGCACAATAAAGTGGAATTTTTTTGTGTGTTCATTTTTTACTGTATTTTGTGGGATTAGTGGAATTTTTAATTTGTTAATAATGTTTTAAAAATTTAAATTATTTATTATCTTTTTAAAATTTTATATTATTAATTTATTAAGTAAACAATGTATTGAACGCATTTCCAACCTAGGGAGCTTCTAGCATGTGATGATCCCTCCTTCCACTCCCGCTTCTGACATCTATGGTGGGCCCCAGTTGGAACACAAACCTCAATCCACCTTTTCTGCATTGTGCTCGGAAACTTGCACTAGGCAATGCGCATTGTATAACATTTTTTTATGTCCACTTGGACTGCTTTCCTCCCTTTTATGGTATTCCTGAGTATTATATAGTTATTCTCCTTCCAGATCATCATTAAGGCTGCCTGCAGGTTATTTGTTTTTTTTTTTTTGTGATTTATTATGGAATTTTTGTTCCTGATATCAGCACTGGCAATTTGGTGTTTTTGAAATAATCATGACACCACCAGTTCTATATAGTTTTTTGGATGTTATGAATGAAACAGCCTGGGGATTCCATCCATGCTGCTTTTTATTCTAATATCTATCGGTTCTGCAGGTTACGGCAAACTTAGAACCTCTCAATGCAAGAAGGGTGCGTGTGAAATTTGATTTCTTCAAAATTGCTGGTTTGGTAAGTGTAAATATAGTTTTATGCAACGTTCCTCTGTCATGGCACAGTAAAAGTTGGTTGTTGGCAAAATTAATTTGATTGAACAGGTGATGATGATGATAACATTGACAAGAATATTTTTGACACACACAAAATTACATGCTAGGGTGTGTCTCCAAGTGCATGCATAGATGCAAATTTGTGCCTAGGAAACTCATATTATTATACGAGAAATTTATGCTCATACCCCCTTAGATACCCGCTATTGCAGGTTTTCCCCCAAAATTTTGTATTTTATGTCCGGACCCTTTTTTTTTTTTCCTCCAAAATACCCCCACTTCATACCATAAAGTACTAAGTGATGAGAAATTCTTGAATACAGATCTTAAAGATCTAAAGTCAAGACTTAGAAGTCTTACTTCATATCTTCAAGAGCTAAAGTCAAGATCTAAAGTTCGCTTTGGAACTTGAAGGTCCGAAGTCATAGAGTACCAAAATTCTCTATGACTTCAATTCGCAGGCTTTGTTATTTTGGACCCTCAAGCTCCGAAGTGGGGGCTTTTATGAAAATTTTAAAAAAGGGATGTGAACGTAAAATACAAAGTTTTGGCGGGAAAGTTGTAATAATGGATAGGGGGATATGAGCATAAATTTATCCTATTATTACCCAAATTTGTCGTCTGATTATTGCCTTCTACTGTTGATTTTAGGAAAAATTAATGTCTTTTCTGGGCGAAAGCTAAAAGAGCAGGTCTTGAATTATTGTTTTTCCTTCTAAATGAAGCACCACATGTTTGAGTTTTAATGTGCTTGTTTGGTTCTAGGATTTCCTCTTATTATGTGCACTGTCATTTTGATCTCGTGATCTCTATTGCGGCTATTTGTTTGCAATTCATATTTCTGATGCATCAGAGTACATGTCTCTTTCTCCATGTTTATTTCACCTTGATCCCGAGAAGTCGTCTTCCTCCTTGCACCCAGTTACGGACATCTTCTTCTACGTTAGAAATTGTTATTGAAATTGATGTTCTTGTCATCCTCTCATGGACCTGCATGATACTTGTCTCTTGCAACAATCAAAGTAAGCTTTGCCTGTAAAGCTTTTATTCTATATGGGATAATGCAACCTGACGCAGGGTATTTCTCTAAAATGTTGATGAAGGAAGTAGATATAGAGCTGAAGCACATGACATGTAGAGGAACAAATTAAGTTGGGGCTGATAAGTTTCTGTGAATGTTGCTGATTTTGGTTGCCTGTGAGGCTGTGACATGTCATTGTTGCTGGAACTCTAAGAACGTGATCAAGAAATATACAACCCATATCAATTATTTTATCCGCAAACCTTGACATAGAGGGACCTGCTATTAGTGGTGCACTTACATCCAAGGTTCTTGGCAGAAGCTAGTTGAAAGCAGAAAAATACATCTTCTTTGTGTGTTATAGTTCGTTTTGGATAGGGTTTTTTTATCTGGATTTCAGGACTGGATTGATCGTATTAGAGATCCCACTAGTCATGTTAGTAATTTATTTTATTGGAGCTTTATATTTGATCATTTGGGAATCTGTAACCACATTATGAATTCCTGAATTATATCATTATGGTTCTCTATTGAATTAAATGATAGTTTAAATGAAAAGTACACTCCAACATTGTGCATTTATTTTTCTGAGACTAAATATCGGAGTTGCTTCCAAACTCACTTTCCATGGATATGATTCTCTGATTGTCCTACAGATCCCAATAAAAGCACCAGGACGTGGTCGTGGTGAATTAGAAATTACATATTTAGACGATGAGCTGCGGTAAGATCCTAAGACACGTACTATATCCCTCATAATGTATGGGCCTTTTTGCATTGTCTGTTTTCTTTAGATCATGCTAATGCTGAAGGTATATTAGTATATGTTATGGAGTTTTATTTGGATCACACATGTTGCACAAGGACATGTATTTGTGAAAACTTTTCCAGATTTCCTACCCTGTGGGAGTAAGTTTCTGTTCTGTCAGGTCCAGTCTGCCATAAAATATTAGTGAGCTATTCCGCCAGTCTGCCATAAAATATTAGTGAGCTATTCTGACAAGACATAATCACGTAATCTGAGGCATCCATACTGCTTAGGTCTTATTTTTGTTGTTGCTTTTTTTGTTGGGTTCGTTATTTCATCTCTTATCTAAATCAGTGGGTGTACTAAATGGATTATTGCCGTCGTGTTTTTTCAGTGATTCAATTTTAGATTATTATTTGCGGTCTTTTCCTTAATCTACTGTGAAACAACGAACTTTTTGCTATGGAATGAATGTGAATGGCATCCAACCAATTTGTAATTGTGTGATTTATTTTACAGAGTATCTCGAGGAGACAAAGGAAACTTGTTCATTCTTAAAATGGTCGACCCTTCATATAGGGTCCCAGTCTAAGTACAGAAACTTGCATTTTATTCACTTTGGTTGATAGAGACATGATTTTACCATATACCATACCAGGGCTTTCCATGCTCTCTGATACTTGTATATTTGATTATTTGTGCAGCTGAGAGAGCTTTCAATTGAGCCTCACACGGATGCTTGTGTATTCAATTATCCATGTAACTGTAATGTAATTTGCACAAGACTTTCCAATAGTATTTGCCTACGCTTATACGACCCTTTAAATGATGTCAAATAAGTTGACAAATCAAGGTTTTAAAAAAACGGATTGATCATGTGATCTAGCCAAGTATGTGCAGTTAAAAAATTCTCTCTTTTTTTTTATTATACTGGCCAGACCACTTACAAGTGTCCAAGAATTGTGACTTCGATTCAAAAGAAACACAAACAAGAAGAAGATTTTCACTTGCTTGCCACCTATAAAAACTTTATTCAATTCTTTAGAACAAAATTATAAACAAAGTGACATTACGTAAACTTGAGATTACATAAACTTGAGAACAAGAAGCATCAAGTAAATAAAAACCAATAGTAAATGCCTAGGATTACCTCCGAGGCTTGGTATACCCCACACCGGGTCTCCTCTAACAATGGCACATAATATTTTGGTCAACCAATGAGTCTGACTATGTAGGAAGCCTAGGCAAAAACCCTACTCAAACTGACAGCATAACCACTTGGGTGTGCCCCCTCTTTCAACTTAGCTTGGGACGTGCCTTTCTATTTTGCTAGCCTAGAGAGAGAGAGTGATGAGAGAATGGCATACTAGGCCAGAGAGGGAGAGAGGGTTAATACCAATGGTGCATGTCATATCATCCTCCCAATGAGGTGTTTATAGTGCAAAGTTAGGGTTTTGGAGTTTAGGATTTTCTATTTTTATAAAGATACAATCTTGACTATAAATCAAAAGTGATCTGTGAGGAGAAGAGATCTTAGTTATATATTCTTTAAATCAGCTATTATTATTAAAAGGAGTGAGTTAGAACCTTATACCTTTGTTTCCTCAACAAGAATTCTATCAAATCTAATTCATAAAGAAAATGTGTCCTATGATTTCAATTAGTGTCATAGTTTCAATCAATCTAAAAAATCTTTCTAATTTTAATATCAATCAACCCATCTCTAGATGCCTTCTCCCTCAAGTTTCTTTTCTAAGAGAGAGAGAGAGAGAGAGAGAGAGAGGAGGGAGGGGGAGGGGGTAGGGTGGGTGTCGACCACCGTGTCGGTCCGTTCGGTCGGACCCACCCACCCACTCCACTAGTCGGTCCTCCGTACGGTCCGGTACCCAACCTAA